CTCTCTCTCTCTCTCTCTCTCTCTCTCTCTCTCTCTCTCTCTCTCTCGAATTATTAGCAATTTGCTACAATTTCAACGATTACGAATGACTGACATTTGCTTAGAATGCCGTACTTGTCGCGTCAGAAGATTGGTAAGCGCCCTAGGCGCGATGTAATTTATTCGCTGTTATTGAGCAAATTCACACGTCGCATGCATCCGATTCGATTAGCATCGTCGGCGGCGTAGAAAACGGAACGGGTTCGGGACAAGCGACGATTACGAGGCGCGTTGAGCGGTTTGACAGCTTTAATTACGGCACAGAGAGAAAAGATCGACCGGTGAGCTAATCGCGCGGAATAGCTTCGTTTCACGCTCGGCCGGCCAGCGTTCGTCGATTCGGCGATTACCGCCTTGACTCGCGGCGCACAATCGAGCGCGGGAGAGGGATCGGGAGGCCCTAAGTGTCCCTTAACGGGTGCCCTTGCTCCAAATTTAAGCTCTCCGATTCCGCCGCCTCGTCCCTGATTAATTCCGATAACCTTCGGACCCCATAATCGTTCGCGCAGCCTTCAGAAACTTTTTTTATATAAACTTTTTTTCCCAGCGGAAGGAAATAGGATGGCGATTGCGTGGAAAAACTTTCGATCGCGCGAAAAAACGTAAAAGATCAAATTGAAGGGAACAAGACATATGAAGACATCGTCGGCGACGTCTTCGTATAGCAAGATGCATCTGCTTGGAGCGAAGTAAAACTTGAACAAGACGCGTCTGTCTGTCACGTCTCAAGCGATATAGAAAAGACACGCGTCTCTGCAAAAACACCTGTGTGTAACCAAGCCCGAGATGAATTAAGGCCGCGCGGGTGATAACTTGATTTTGCAACGCGACCGGGCATAAGTATATGGGATCTTTTCGCGAATCAATACACGAGCTCGCGTACACGAGGGAACAATCGAGGCGCGAGCAATCAGGGCGATACGCGTGCACCATCGTTCGCTGTTAAGCGGTAAACACGTCGCGCACAATTTCAAAGGGTTAGAACTTCCAGCCTTCTCTCTCGCGTATTTCACCCCCGAGGAGATACCCACCCTACCCGGGCGGTTAGTTTTTCATTCTCTTCGGCGTCGACGTCGCGGACTTTCGCGGAACAGCGTGTGCGTTTCTAAGTCATCGCGTCGAACGGCGTCGCAAAACGCTCTCGCGCACCGCCGAAGAGGACGCAGCGACGGCCGACGACGATCGCAACGCGCATCGCGCAACTGGTCGCGTTGCGCACCGGGGGACGAACGAGCGGATGGACGAACGACGAGATTGCGTGCGTGGCGTGCGTGTACGATACATACGTCGGTGTCGCGATCGTTCGCGCTCCTGGATAACGAAGATCCCGCTTCTGCGCGCGACGCGGCGACGATCGCGAGACTGTGGAGGCGCGGCGTAAAGTTGCTTCTTTATAGCGCGAATGTGGCGGCTAGGAGAGCCGCGCGCGTGTGTGTGTGACGCTCATGCCACGCGTTCGAAAAGCGCGCGAGAGGAGGGTGGAATTGGCGAGGCGGGAGAGCGCGGACGAGGAAGAGGGAAAAAGAAAAAGAGAGAGAGAGAGAGAGAGAGGTAAATCGACGGGCAGCGCGCGATGGGCGAAGCAAAAAATCATGCTGAATCCACGCGCGTGCGTGCGTGTGCGCGCCGAGTATCCTCTCAATGATCGCCGGAGGAGAGGAGATCGCGCGCTCGCAAAGCGGAGGTCGCGCCTTTCTCCTTTCGGTGTTCCAAGCGGGCTTTTCGGGGGAGGGATACGCCATTATCATCAGGCTCGCCCTTGCCTCGCTCTCGCGTTATCCGGTGTCATCCGGTGTCGTCCGGTAAAAACCGGCGCGGGAAGCGAGAATCCCGCGAACCGGCGAAAAAGGGAGTGAATGACTCTCGTCGCATATACGACGGTTTTCGTGGCGTTCGCCCGGTGGGGGTTGTTTCCCTCACGAGGGGGGGGGGGGGGGGTAGAGAAGGGGGGGGGGGGAGGGGAGGGGGGGGGGGGAAGAGGACGCGCGTCCCGCGCTCGCGCTCTATATCCTCCTCCACGGCCTCCGCCACCTCCGCGACTTGGCGGCGGTCGCCATGGCGAATTCATTGTCACCCCGGATTCTATCTGGGCGCCTCTATTTCCGTCTGACGTGCGCAACGAATCGGATGTCAGGAGGTACTGCCCACGCGGCGCATATAGGATCGATAAAACGCCTCCTCCTGAAATTCGGATAAAGCGTAGGGCGCCACTGCCCGCCTTTCGCGCATCCCGAAACGTAATTTAAATCCCACGGCCACGTGTGGCGGAAAGAAGAAATTCGCGCGACGTTTTCGGCGATAACACGTGGTCGAAAAGCGAAGCGTGCGTCGCGCTCTCCCTGGCGCTTGATCCCTTCGAGAAGCCATCAGGCACCGTCGCCGAATGAAATTCGGAGAGAGCTCGCAGCATCCGCGTTTTGGCGCGCGATCGAGCGAGCGAAGAGGCCCGCCCCCGTTGAAATGAACCCTTCCTCTCTCTCTCTCTCTCTCTCTCTCTTCCTTTTTTATCGATTTTCAGAACTCGGCGTCGCGCGCGCGAGGGAGGGAAGGAAAAGGAGGGAAAGAGACGGACAATTTTGCCTTTATTTTTTTCGGTACGCCTCCACTTTGTGGAGACGCGATGCGGGAGATGAAAGATGAAACTCGTTCGTTTCGCGCCTTTGTCTCGGGCCTAACTCGCGCGATATCGCACGAGTATCTATAGCACGAGGAGAATTGCCGTATCCGGCTGCAGCCGCGAGACTACTTGGCTACACGCGCGATCCGACGCGACGCGACGCGACGGCTCGTTCTTCCTGTTGTGCGCGGAATCGCGAACCGCGACCGATAGCGCGAGCGCGGAGTAATTCGAGCTGGAGCCCGCGCGAGTTCGAAAAGCGCGGGAACGACGGGGAAAACGGGCCCCTCTCTTTTCTCTTCGACTCGTCGCGCCTTCGTAGGTGGAGCCAGCGGCCGCTTTCTTGCCCCGATCCGATGGATCACTCTCACTCCGCTGTCTCAAGCTATATTTGTACCTCGAAGCGATGTTACAACAGAGAGAACGAGAGAAAAAGAGAGAGAGAGAGAGAAAATGAATTAACCTTGTATGCGCAACTAATGAATTTTATAATAGCCTAAATTGCCTTGATGATTTCGAATTGAAGTGTCGAAAAATATTCTTAAAGTTTCCCTAAAAATCGTCTAAAATATGGGAAAAACATCTGTCAAAGATTATTGAAAGAGAATATCAAAAGTTAATACTGCATAGTCTTGGAACGACCTCTTACGCATCGAAGGATCGAAGAAAAAATAATTCTACGATATTATGCTTAAGAAAAAGAACTATAGATATTCATTTCGCAACAAACATCGTTATCAGGAATCGGAAATTTCACAATGTAAACAGTTTCTCACAATCTCTCATGTTACTCAATATAAATCTACGTTTCACTGATTTACGAAATAGAAATAATTGATCTTCGTCCTTGCTTGTAATTTCAAGAAAATTTAACGTTGCAACTACACTAATTACAATTACAGGATTAATGAGAAGGCTCTCGATGATATAATAAAATATGTACATATATATATATTTATTTATTTTAATACAAGTAGGAATTTCGCAACTAGTGCAAATTAATTAGCTTAGCGAATCGTCGCATTTGTTCAGTAGCTATAAAAAAAAAAGAGATATTTTTTTCTAATATGGCAGTATAAAGTAGAAAATCTCCGATTTTTCAGTTCATAATAACAGAAATATCTAGTCAATATTAACGAACGTTATTTAAGTTCGACAAATGAGAAATTGATGCGTTCCTCGATTCGCGATCCGCGTACAAAAGCTGGGTACTTCGATTATCCTCTCGACGAGAGTATCGAACCATTTAGTTATTGCCCCATTTAGCGCCGAAACGTGGGCTTCCAGCCCTCCCTCCTCTCCCACTTCCGCCGCTGTGAATACAGAATAACCTCGACATTTTTTTTTTGTCTTTTTGCGCGAGAACTATCCGAATATTCCGAATGGAGGTCGGACATGAATAACATCGTACATTTGCTATTGTAATTTAGAACGGCACGTGTTTCGTGATACGGACGCTCGTCACACGCACGGGCCGTGTTCGGCGATGGGGGAGGACGGGGCTAACGGGATTATTAATCGCCAAGCGTCCGCCGCGGCGGCGGCGGTGGCTGACGGTGGCTCGGTTGAGAATCGCTGACGCGCGTGCGACGCGAACGCGCGGATGCGAGCGCGAGTCGCGCGAGACGCGAGGAGCGTTGCTTACAATCGGCTGCGTTAACGGTGCCCGACAATATATCCTCGTTCTCTCTCTTTCTCTCCCCTTACATTATTTTTCCTTACGATACTTCAGAATCGTACTTCCTTTACGTGATTAACCGCGATTAAATCAGATCGATTGCCGTCTCTCGTTCGCGAAGAGCGAAAGAAAAATTAGCGAGAAGCGTGTTAATCGCCTCGCATCCCGGATATCGTTAACGCAGCCGACTGTACGTACTTTTGCGCGCGCGCGTATATGAAAACTGCGCGTTCGTCGAGAACGAATATTCCCGGGGCCGGCCGCACGCAAATGCGTCCTTGTTGCGGACTAATTGCCGCGCGCGCGCGCGCGCGCACGCGGTTGCATTAATTGCGTGCTCTCTTTTCCACGCTCCAACCTCTTTTACCCTCCCGCTTTCCCCTCGCGCGCGGATGCGAAACGTCGCCCAATTGCGAGCAATTTACTCGGTCCGCCGTGGGTCAATGCTAGATCCGCTATGCCGCTGTCGACGCCCGCGGACGGATTCCACTCGAATCGCCGTCGCCATCGAATATCCGTGACTGGAATTATTCGCGTATGCCCGAACGGAGATGAGACCCGGGCTCTTCTCGCATACCGAGGTGATCTCTCCGGCTATGCTTAGATACCCATATACAGGAAGCGACTTCGAATGACCAGTCGCTGATCACTTGAACGATAATTCTAGGGTCACGAACGTAAAATATGGCTTGTTTTCTCTTTCTTTCAGTAAACACAAAGGATAATATTCGCACATATATATTTACAGGATCTTGGATGTTCGTTGTCCCTTAGAATGCTCGAAACGTCTTAGGCTTCAGTGAGTCAGTTTGAAATATTCCGGATGTATTTTGAGATTTAGGGCCGCGGATGCCACGCAGCTCAGCCAACTAACGAGCTTATTCTTGCTGCAACATTCATCAAGTCCACGATAAACAGGAGAGTTATTCAGAAGGTAAAGTTCCTCCGATTAGCTTTTCTTAAAGTAGCCTTTATTTCTTTTCTTAGTTCTCTTATTACTTAATTACCGCTTCTCACCTCTTCGACATGGTCTGCAGCAACCCCTGCGATAGACACGGATGTAATTGTAGGAATGGCGTGCCGACGATAGGATGAATCGCCTGCGATAATTCCGTGTAATTTAATTTGGAACCGTGAACCGTTTGAGCCTCATTTACGCTCACTGGGTTAATACCGGGGAAATCTAAAAAAAAAAGAGACAAAATGAAAAAACGCCCGTCAGATCTCTCACGACAATTGCCGTGATCCTTCCCTCGCTGATGAATACGTGAAAGATAATGAGCGTTAATTATTCCAAACGACATGACGCGTTTCCGCCCCGCCGAAATGCGTTATCGGGATTAATTAATACCGTCCGCATATCTGCGCGAATATTGAAATAGTCGGACACGTTTGCGTTTATAATCAATAAAACGATGCACGCGAGGCAGGGATATGGCACGAATGCACGGTGCCGACAACCGCAAATTTCAGGCTCTGTCTCTATCCCCCTATATCGCCCTATCTAACTTTCGAAATTTTGGAAAGGCACCCCATGCCGCGCCCTTCTCGAAAACAGCTTTCGGTGTACTTTATTCTTTCAAAAGTCTCTTTTTTTTCTACGAGTCCTGCGGCGCGTGGACAGAGATCTTTTTCAAATATACACTCAACTTGCAAGCAGCCGACGCTCCTGAACTAGGTACCTGATTTCCATCCATTGAAGAAGAGCACCGGGACGCTGTAGCTAACAGACCACAGAATGTGATGCTCGATGATGAAAGGCGTTTCGCTCGTGGAGGTGGCTTCGTGCGGGTCTTCTCGAAATTTCACGTGGAACTCCTCGGCATCGTCGTCGTCACCGGTCGATCCGTCCTTTTTCGTAGCCGAGTCGTTCGGTACGAAGCACTTGGCTCTCCTAACTAGATAAGCTTCTCCGGGAATATCCTAGCGTGCACATAACTTGTTAGACGGACGAGAGAAGACGAAAAAGACGCCAAATATCACGCGGTATGCGATAAATGTATAAATGTATCCCTCAATCTCTGGCTCGTGTTTAAGTGGCCAACTCTTGACCACCCCGTCCAAGAAGCTCGTAAATAATATACTACATTTCGAGCATTCAAACGTAGAATTTGTAAATTTTACAACTTAACGTGCAACACATTTTAAAAGACTGCTCAGTTTATTAAATTTTTTTACAAGATTTTATATTTTTGTAGGTTTACAAATAAGCGGCACGCGAATGGATCGCATAATCGTGAGTTTCATCAACAATGTTAATGAAATGATTCAATCTACATATTTTATACGTCGGTTAGCGTGTAATTCGCGCGAGTGAGCGACTCGGCGGTATAAACTGTGTACCTTGTCCCCACGAAGCTCCCATCCATCCGATATCTTGGCTGAAACAACAAGAAACTTCTCTGCATTCTCGAGGAATTCCTCCCATGTAACCGTGCCCGGGCCGTCCATTGGTGCACGAGTCTAAACATCGAGAAATTTATACATTTTGTCAGATCTAACATTTATATACGTAACGCATGATAAACAAGCTACAACGGATTTTCCGCAATTATTGTATCTAATATATTGTTTCTCTTTGGTTTTCGAGTTTCGAGAGCCTCTCGGCACCTCGCGATTAATTCTCTACAGTCCCCATTGGTTAACGCCGCCTCGCGCGATTATCTCCGTAGCGTCGCTCGAACGGGCGAGGACAAGGAAAGAGAAAGACAGAGAGAGAAAAAGAGAGAGAGAGAGACAGAAAGCGCGTAACAGAATTATAGAAGATTTCGTTAAATTTTGCGTAGCGACGTCCAAGTTGCGACGTCGATCGCATGATAAAATTGAAAAAGGGGAAGCGGTTCACCCGAGAGAACAGCGTGCCTCCTCCCGCCCCCTCCCTGCCCCTCACCCTTTGCTGCTACCTTCTCGCCAAACTCTCTATCGCGTCAATTGTCGACTATTTCGCGTCGGACATGTCCGCCGACGTTCGGGCGCGATCGAGCGCCTCGCACCTCGCCCCCCTGTCCGTGCCTTCCCCTTTCTCCCCCCTGCGACCTCCTCTACCGCTTCCAGGGACTGTCGACATACGCACGCCGATAGTACTCCGCGATGTGTTACGGCCCCGCGTGTATGTGTGTGTGCGTCGGTCGCGGTCCAATCGGACGCGGAGTCGCAGGCCAGTGCCGTACCGCGCGCGGGCGCCGGAGCTGGAGTTTTGCGCCCTTTTCCACCCTCCTCACCGCCCGTCGTTCCGCGAGGTCCTTTTTGGGACAGCCTCGTCCTTTATTCGACAATGTACCGTCGGCGTGTCGTCGCACTATAGAATTTCTCGCTTGTTTTACGCCTGCGCCTTTATCGCAAATTCGAAGTATCGACCTATCCCAATATCGCGCAGCGCGTTTTTTTTTTTCAACAACAACGAGATATTCCATACGAGAAGCTGCGCAGCGGTATGTAACGCTCATACAGCGTTTCATTGACGACGACGACTCGCAAAGATTCTTTCACGAGAAATATCTTGGCGCGCGGAAAACGTCCGCTCGTCCGCTCCGTCAATCCGCTCGGCGGCTCCGCTGGACGAGATAACACGCCTTACCCTGCATGCTAATTTGTTACCGTTAATAACACACGAGACCAATAATGCAATCCCGGCAGGAGATAAAGTATTTTAACTTACTAATTGATTCAGAAATATTGTAAAATATTATAATTATATTCCGTGGCGTAAAACGGAATAATAAAAGCTGTCACATGGGCTAACAAAATCAACATATTCATCTCTAGCGCTACATACATACACACATGATATTTCCCACTGATTTATTTATAATAATATCAGGTAATTTTGCCGTCATTTTTTTTGCAGTAAATATGACTCAGAATTCGAAATCCAGTGAAAGTTCAGTTGACCACTGTTCTTTTAATTACAGTTTGGGGGCGGTATTCACAGTCGGATCTTATTTTAAGACCGTCTTAAGTAATGTCTTAAGTTGCTAATACGGTCATTTGATTGGCTGGACGGAGTCTTAAGGTTGCTTTTGACCAGACTTAAGACGATCTTAGATATAAGATCCGACTATGAATACCGCCGTAGGTATCGACGATTCTGGGTTCGCTCTGCGTAGACAAAGGTATAGAAAGAAATGTATAGAACGCCATTTATATATTTTAGAAAACTTTCTCTGCACGAAGAATGCCGTCAAATAAATCTTGGACAAAAAATATCCTTTAGAATAAACTATAAAGATTTCTCAAACTTTAACTGCGGTGGAAAGTAAAGCAATCAATATTTCGTGGAGTTCAATTCTAATTGTAAGTAGTATGTACAAGCTTAAACGGGCGTCAATATAGACACATTTGTATTTTCTCTTCGATATTCCAAAGTTGCGGCATCGATTTCCGCGGATTCGATTCTCCGCGCGTAAATGATTTATTTTCGATGAATATCTCTGTGAGAACGCGGTAGCAACGACAGCTCGGAGCTCGCACGATCACCCGCGTCGAGAAGATTACTCGTGTAAAAGAAAAAACAAACCGTCAAGGCAATTTTGAATAAACAACTCAATCGTAACTCTTTCGAGTTACGATCCATATGCGGAACATTTGTTCGTATCGACGATACAGAGAAAATCGTGTGTAATCCGGAGGAAGGCGCGGTTTCGCTCGCCCCCGTCATTTCTCGAGCCACTCGTACAGCACTGGCATAACAAACGGCGATGCGCGCGCACCGTTCTCCGCCGGTGCGAGGAACGAGGACGACACGACGATATCAGCGAGAGAGTAGCGCGGTAGCGAGAGGTGGAGCGAGAGAGGAACGGCGTGAAGGGAGGCGCGAGCGAGCGAGACAGAGCGTAACGAGGAATAGATAGGGAGGTGGGGGGGGGGGGAGCAGAGCGGGGCGGGGATGGGGGACTACACACCGCCGACTCATCTGCGTGTAGTCGTGCAGCGCGTGCGAAATCTACGAGTCACACTTCCGAACTTGCTCGTGTTTACACGACAGTAAGTTCAGCCCGCTCTCCCACTCTTCTCGCTCCGTCCCTCGCGGCCCTCGCGCCTGACGACCGTGTCGTTCTATCTCTCCCCCGCGCTGTGCCCTGTGCCCGTCTCTCTGTCAAGCGCGCGCGTTACGGGTGACGCGTACGTGTGCGTGCCGTGCGTATACTCGGCGTGTGTGTGTGAAGTTTACGTATCTCCGCGCGCATGTGTATGGTACGTGCGCGCGCACGGAGCACGTATGCGTTATGTACATCGTGCGGCCGCAGTGATACACCGTTCCCGTGTTGCGAGACGCCTGCGATCTGAGCGCGCGCGACAAAGCGAGTTTCGCCGAGGACGAGAGCCGCGTCCGGCGGCGGCAACGACGACGAAGACGAAGACAACGACGACCGGAGGTCCTCGTCCTCGATACGATCCCGGGGGCGATGCGCGGTACGCAGTGGCGAGTCGGGGCGACGGCAGCCGAGTGAGCGTATACGGAGTGAAGTGAGCGACGGTGAGAAGTGAACGGACGACGGCGACGGCCGACGTCGGCGACGAGTGATCGAAGACAATAGGACGCGCGCGAACGGTAAACGCGGATCACGATATACCGAAAAGACGGCGAGGTTGCGTGGAGGTGCGGAGGAACGATGAGAACTTCGACGACGACGGCGGCGGCGGCGGCGGTGATAACGACAGTGGTGGCGACGGCGACGAGGCGCCCCCAACGACGCACCTGAATCGCTGACAATTACGACGGCGACGTCGTGATGCGTCGCACCGTGTCGCTCCAGTACCGCGCAGCAGCAGGCACCTCGCTCCAGTTGTGACGCGACGTGTTCGTGACGTGACGCGACGAAAGCGGGACGGAGAAGACCTTCTTCTTGTCAGTGCGCGAGTGAGACGGAGAGGCAGCGAGGAAGAGAGAGAGAGAGGAACAGAAACACCTCCCGCGACTCCTTTCTGCGTGTAGCGAGTGAAACAGAGACGAGGATAGTGAGAGAGACAGAGAGAGACAGACGTAGACCGAAAGAGCGGCGCGCGCGAGCGCCAACGAGTGCGCCGGAGTGTGTGTGCGTGTGTGTTGTGTGTACGAGCGTGCACCTTTTCCTCGGGTCGCGTTTCGTTTGACGTGACGTCGCGCGTCGTCGACGTAAGCACGTAAGCACGGCCGAGCGATTACCGTTCGCCGTTTTCGCTCCCGAACGAGCGAGACAGACGCGGCCGCCCGCGGCCGCGGCGGCACACGTACATACGCGCGCGGGGAACGCGCGTAGCCTGAGCGTGCGTGCGTGCGTGCGAGCGAGAGAGAGAGAGAGTCCCCGATCTCCCGTTCTTTTCATCGCTTCGGCCGTCCAGCGGCGCACGAAGGAACGGCGGCGCACTTGTGTTTACGCTTGAAGCATTGACCGGCCACCACGGCGACCATGTACGCCAAGGGAAAAGGGGCGTCGGTGCCGTCGGACTCTCAGGCGAGAGAAAAGTACGTATCGCATCGCCAGCAAGACGGAAAGAAAGAGAGAGAGAGAGAGCGCGCGAGAGAGGGAGGTGGGGAAAAATAAAAATGATTGGCGTTCCGTCGTGAAAATTCCAACCGGCCATTGATCGCTCGGTATATAACTCCATTTTTCTCGGGCATCCTCCTGACTCCACCTCCCGCGCCCCGCGCGCCCCCAGCTCCCAGCCCCCAGTCCCCGGCCCCCGCTCGCTCCGTCCGCGCGGGCTCTCCCCCTCCCTCTCCCCCTCAACGCTCTCCCACCACCCCCTTCGCCGTCGCCGGTTCTTTTTGCTCCGAGCCGTATCGCATCGCGCGTATATCGCGACCGGAGAACCCGGTTCGTCGGGTTAATCCAGTTTATTACCTACCGACGGCCGATCGGACCGATGAGCCATTCGTTTGTCTTCCCTCTCTCGCTCACCTCTTTGTACGTTTCTCGTTTCGAACGTACGTGACGATGTTCCCTTTCCTCCTCCGGCCGCCACCGCGCCCCCTCCTTTCCCCCCTTCCCCCCTCCGCGAGATCGATTCGAGACTTGACGTGCGAAAGGCTCGATCGTCGACACGCGTCATCGCGTGGAGAAAATTCGCGCGAGGTGAAAAATTGGCGAGGGACCCGCGAATCCCTGGACGCGCGCTTTTTCGATTCCCGATCGAACGCCGGGATTTTCAAATGGCGCGAAACGAGCGCCTTCGATATTAAGATTGACAGGGAATTAAATCGCGCTGGATTAGAAAGTTAAGTTGTAATCAATTAGCAAACCGCGATCGATGCCACTCGCTTCGATTAAAAAATGTCCCGGTCAACCGCGCGAAGTTGCCGGCGCATCGATCTCTTTCGTCGTCCGTGGCATTACAATAATTGGGCGATATCTTGATTCTTGAGCTGTCGCGTTCGAGTTTTTAAACTTTCTTTTTCGCGCTCGTATTATCTTCTTCCTTCAAACGTCGGGGATGTACGACCGTCTCGCGTCAGGCGCGGCAAGCGAAACTTGAACGAGCAGCAAACTTTACGTTTTGGTTACGAAATGGTGTCGGGGGCGGTCGTTAACTGGAATTAGCCGGTCATAATTCTCCGACGCGACTGATTATCATAACGTAATTAACTCCAATCCGTTCGATACCTCAACTCTCTTCAGGTCGTGGTTCAAATTGCGACGCGGATCGGAAATTGTGATTCAATCAATCGATCGAGCGATCCACTCCGAGACGCGGACGGGAGAGCCCGGCGCTGCGGAAAAACGAGGATGGAAGAAAAGAAAAACGAGATCGACCCGGCCGGGGAAAGATTGTCCAGCCGGGACTCGCGCGTAACCTGCTTTCTCGCGAGAGGCGATTGATCCGCGCGCGCTGTCAGTCAGCGAGGAGCCGCGCTTCCACGCTCCGCTCCGATTCGCGGTTTCCGATTCCCGCGCGCCATGTTTGTATCGCCCGGCCAGGCCGGCTCTTTCCTCCGCGAGATGCACCCAGCCGCGGGGAAAGTCGGCGTTAACAACGCGACGGATTCGTGAGGAAACGCCATTGTCGAGGCGGCTTCGAGTTAAGTACGGGCTTTCTAAAAAAAAAGAGAGAAAGACGGATACCGATCCCTCGCGTTTGCGTAACCTGCCCGTCTTTTCACGTTCCCCGTCGCTATCTTGAAGTTCGTTCTTGTTCTACCGCTCAAAGTTTGCCTCCTCAATTTCGAATGGCTAATGGCTAATGATTTTTCCAGATTGGCGCTTTACGTGTATGAGTACTTGTTACATGTAGGAGCACAAAAAGCAGCACAAACGTTCCTGTCGGAGGTACAATAATTTTCCTCATCTTTGTAAATTTTTTACATCATTTTTACATCTATATTGCGAAATATTGTTAACTACAATGTGGTTTGCTCTGGTTGTCCAGATTCGATGGGAGAAGAATATCACACTGGGAGAGCCACCTGGGTTTTTGCATTCTTGGTGGTGGTAAGTATACCTACGTTACCTTTAAAGAAAATATCGCAGGGATGTTTCAGTGTGAAATAATTATTATGAAATTTCTTTTCAGTGTCTTTTGGGATTTGTACTGCGCTGCGCCTGAGAGGAGAGATTCTTGTGAACACAGCAGTGAGGCCAAAGCGTTTCACGACTATGTAATTATATTAATAATTGCAATACTCTTTTGTAACTTGCATAAAATTATCGACCACTCAATATCAAAGCGACAGTTATATTAAATTAAATAGGTGCACAAGCGTTTGCATATTATTTATGGTATTTTTTCTGTTATCAGGGATTCGTGAATAGTGCTTACAACGTCAATGGCATTGCACACGTAAGTTGAAAAATTTATGTCAAACTATTAATATGCATTATTATAAACATACATAGTTGAACTTTTTATTTTAATACATATTTGTTTAATACATATGTTAATAATGATTAAGAATCAATGTAATTTGATCTACTTTTTTAACCTTTCTCTCGCAAGACATCCTTTTTCGCAAAGAAGCTTACAAACTAAATAAAATTACAAAATATTTACAGAATGCTGGACCAGCTCCATCTCCAATTGGTCAAATGCCACCAAACGATGGAATGCCTGGTGGTCCCATGCCTCCTGCTTTCTTCCCAGTGAGTTTTTATTTGATAACAACAATCTTTTATCATCATTTGTTTTGATCTTTACTTACAGAATACGTAAAGTGAAAAATTATTTTATTAAATCGGTCGTCACAAAATTGCATTTTAATTGCATTTCGCTTATTACATCTTGTTAAAATGTATTTTGATGATTTTAATTAATTAAAAGATTTATTGAATTTCTATTAATGCACTTGTTATAGTGATTACGAGATATCTTTTACGAGATAGTTTCAAGTAGGTTTTGTAACAAAAATTATTTTAGAAAGAAGATATTAACGTTTCGAACAAATCTTAAGATAATTTCTTATATTAATCTAATGCGTGTATTCTTACACATTAGATATATGTGTATATGTGTGTGTGTTTCACACACACATAGTCGTGTACCTGTTATCATTGTTATGCATAGTCCTTGTTTAAATTTTACACTTGATTCAAAGCATAATAAGCTGTTTCAAAATAAAAATCGTAACCAAATTTAATGATAGCTTAAAAGATAATAATTTCAATTTATTTACTAGATCAAGAGAAAATAGATAATATCTAAACAAATAATTTGTTAATATTTAACTTAGATTATTATTTAAATATACAATTGTCATAGAAATAGTTTTTAAATAAGATATATAAATAAGTGATAGAACCGATCTTTCTTTTTTTTTTGTTCAAAAAACGAGTTATATGTAAGACATTTTTACATGAGAGATGCATAGTTATTTAATTAAGCATATTTATATATCCCTATATATAATTGATGAATATACACCCACACACTAGCCGTAGTCGTGATCAACTTGTTTTGAAACAAGTGTACATTCAAAAGACGTTCTTATGTCATGCTTGTCTATACTGTATATATGTACTTACTTTCTCTCTGCTCTCTATCTAATACTTGTATGTGCGTTCTTGTATCATTTTCACTGTTTCATCTTCTTGGCGCATAAAGCAAATCTAGAAACTCTATGAAGAACAGGATTATATAGATGTTAGAATACATTTAGAGCACAATATTGTGGTACAGTAAGCATATAATGACGAGTATATTGCTTTGTGCTGGTCATGCCACAGTAGTATATGTAAAATATTACAGGTACAGACATTATTGTTTTATTCATCTTATGCAAACATTTGTTTGCAATATACAAATTTTAACATTTTCCTTGATTACATAGCCAGCCAAAGTTATACTCTCTAGAATGTATGGGACAACTAACATGGAAGCCTGCTTAGAATGTAGTCTAGTTTTTTTTCACAAATCTACAACTTCTTTACATTATTTAACAAACGTTAATTTCATGGATATTAATTATGTATTATATGATTAATTATACAATTTATGAAAAAATTAAAATAATTTTTGAATATAAGATATGTGTGTAAATATATATATATATATATATAATTCTATAATTTTATGATTTAATGGTCGTACATTTGTTGAAGTTGCAATTACATAGAAGATAAAAATTTTTGATCTTTTTTGTTAGTATTTGATTAATATTTTATTTGTTTTTTTTTTTTTTATAACGATATAAATATATCTCATACAATTGATAACGTTTGAGTCAACTATTTATTACATTTATAAAAAAGATAAAAATAATGTAAAAATATAACATACATGTGGAAACAAGAAAATGAAAAAAAAATCATGCATCTATTGCTTGTCAAAGTAGTCGTCCCCTACTAGATTAGACAAAGATAATATGCTACACAATATATAAGCGATTCAGTTTGTTTCTAGATCTCTCTACATACATAGGTATCCTGTAATGCTTAGGAGTCATCATATCTTTCCAACGAAGTCGTTTTACGTTCTATAACGCTGTACATTTTATAATTAATTAGCATCTTTTCATACTCTTGTATGTCTCGTTTCACAGTTTAATGTTAAAAGCGATTTTGCATATAGGTTGTAATTATGAAAAGAAAGTGTGCAATGACAGGACACTGAACCGTCATTAGAACGATTTTTTCTAATTACAACTTTCTTCCGGACTTAACTTAAGATGCTGAGACCGATCATAGTATTAACACAATCATCCCCGAAGCCTTCTAGTCTAGCTGTTGCCTGGATCGCAGTGTTGCTACATGTCTGTCGTTTGCGTTGCTTGTTGCAGAACAACTCGACAATGCGACCATCTCCGCCCACACACCCCTCATCACAGCCATCCCCCCAGCACCCCCAGCCACCCCCGCCCCCACACTCGCAGATGATGTCCACTCAGGTAAGCCTCATTCAACACATACACTCTCACTCATGAAGAATCACTTGTTCCGCTGTGTCATCGCACCACATCATGGTATAACCGAAATTCATAATCATATCGTTACAGTTGCTATAATTGTTTTTCTTCGTGATGTCCTTTGTGATTTTGTCTTTATACAGATGTCCCTCATGACTTTGTCTTTACACTAGTACAGGATTTATCAAAAAAAGTTCTGCGATAGTTTATATTTATATTATACGATAAATGAATCTTATCTGCAGTTTGCGCTTAGGAACGTTGTGTAATGATATAACCAACTAATGTGCTGCGATGAACTTGAAATGCATATTTTATGGCCTATCATCTCACGGATTGCTTATTGTGGCTGCCTGATATTTATACTATATCTAGTCAATTCTGTGTATAGTAATCATGATTGACACTTTATTGATACTTAATTATACTTTCAAATTATGACTTGAGATTAATACATTTCATTATATGATCAATTTGATGAACGTTTGCTTTCTGTTACAGTTTATGGGCCCCAGATATCCAGCAGGACCACGACCTGGAGTACGTATGCCACAAATGGGAAATGACTTTAACGGAGTAAGTATGAAAATTTAATTCATTTTCATTTATTACGATTAGCGCTTGGATAGATTTTTATTAACATCGAAAATATCTTGTTTAAATAAATAAATAAGATAATATGTAACGTTGCCACATATTTATATTTATTCATGATTTTAATTCTTAAATATTTATATATATTTAAATATATACGAGTTGTAGATGTTATTATAAATTTACATTATTTTTTCCACAGCCACCAGGACAACCAATGATGCCAAATAGTATGGATCCTACCAGGCAAGGTAAGAGATCATTTATATGCCAGTATTATATTACTTTTTTTCTGGCATTGACGAGAGTTGCGAGAGAAGAATGGCATAGACGCATGCGTACCAAAAACCACACAGCAATAAACGAATAAGTAATATTTTAAATTGGATTGGATTGCTGTGATGTGGAGTGGATTGGTTTTTGAATTGTCTAGTTACAAGCAGTGGTGTAGTTTGCGTTCGATTGTTACTGCTAGATATTCAGTCTTGTGTACTTAGTATGTAAGTATGTATTTTAATGGTTCTTTTTATCAAATATTTTATTTGATATGCTTTTTTTATTTTTCTTTATAAATAATTTATGTCGTTACATATGTATTTTTCAGGATATTCTATTACCTCACAGATTAGATTTGAAAAATGCAGTTAAAGATATTGTGTTCTTAAAGTATTATGAGTTAATTAATATTTTAGTATGAAAATATTACAGATCTTTATGTAATAGATAAAATGGCTTGACTCTCGATACATTTATATGATTTAATTAAACACATAGCTGTCAACATGATTTGTCCCAGTGTTCAAGAATAACTTTCAATAAATTCTTATAAGTTGCGGTAGTTATAAATTCAAAAATCACTTTATTTCTGCTATACCACTGCAAAATAACTAGGCTTTACCACCATGAACCCGACCTTACCTACCTGCCGTACTAATGTGTGCTCTTGTGTTCCTCAGGCGAAGCTGGAGAATTTGTAGGGTGGCAAGGTAGGAAGCAACCCAAATCACACTCACATGACTTAGTCAAGCCTAACTTTTATTTTTTTTTCTCCTCCTTGCCTTTAATTTTTTTTATTTCCATTTTTCATAAAGATAATTGCACCGGCTTTGCTCTTTTGTAAAATAATTTGCTCATCCGAACTAGCATCCAGCATGACAATCGCAATTGAGTATATTAGACGTGTATATTTAGTTATGTGTATAACAAATAATACTCTTACATAGTTTACAAGAAATTCGTTTGGCACAATATACAATAACTCTATAATACTTTGTTCCATATTTAAGAAATATTTCTGCTAATGTATGTGTGCAAAATATTACCTTGGAGTTAAAAATATTCACATACATGTGTACATTAATTGTATATGTAAATGCATCATTCTTGCGATATTTTTTGGAAAAAAGATGGGTATTTTTAAATTAATAAAAAAATATTTATATCTGTTATTATATTATAACAAGCTTACATTTAATATTAATTTAAAAGTTTTTGCGCATTATGAGACATGCTACATGCAGATGGAAAAGATAGGCTGATCATGTTTGTGTTTAACAAATATATTTTTAGAACATTAATTGTCAATATCATGTTACGTTGTGTCATGTTACAAAAAATGATATTTAATTATGATCTATGGGTGTTACACACAATATGCCATCGCATAAAGCAAGAAGTCGCTTTTAATGGAATTAGATCTTTTGAGAATTTTTAATAACCACAGTTGACGGAAATTATTTTTATTTTTTTTTATATTTGAATGTATAATTTAAGTAATAATTGTTCGCTATTTAGTATCATGTTGTTTCTATCTTTAGCATGAGCTTTTTACTATGTTAATTTGTGTGGTGACAGTTGCTTGACCGGCATGTCATCCACCGGCTTCACCTCGAACTCGACTTTTGCAAAGCATGACTCTCAATTTTCGGCACTTTGAGCTCGCACTTAATGTTATATCGCACATAGAGCGCGGTCTTATACACAAGTTACTTTATCTTAGTGTTTACAAATCCACGATTTTTATTGTTTAGTCCACAAAATCGTAATTAGCAATTAGCATTAACATAGAACTAGAACAAACGTTAACAGTCCTGTATTTAACGATCGAATTTACCAAACTTTATTTTCTATCATAGGTCCACCAGGAATGAACCCAATGAACCCGAGGATGAATCCGCCGCGAGGACCAGGGATGGGACCGATGGGTCCTGGAAGTTACGGTCCAGGCATGAGAGGTCCACCGCCCAATAGTACTTTGGGTCCAGGTGGACCAGGAGGTCCTGGAATGCCACCAATGAGTATGGCCGCTCCAGGTGGTAGACAACAGTGGCAACCCAACACATCTACGGTATGGATAAATATGCAACCTTTATCTCTTAATATACACTTCTAATAATCCTATTTTAATATAATACGAATACAAGTATCTAACATTTCTTTGTGATACAGCCAATGAATTATTCGTCGTCATCGCCGGGCAACTACGGAGGGCCGCCTGGATCAACGGGTCCGCCAGGACCTGGTACACCTATTATGCCTAGCCCACAGGATAGCAGCAATAGCGGAGGAGAAAATATGTATACCATGATGAAGCCTGTACCTGGGGGAAATATGCCGGGTGTAAGTGATTAAATAATAATGCAACTATTTATTATATTTTCCGTTACGTTCAATTATTCTCTTTTAATAAGCTATAGCTTTTGACTAAGTTGTTTTATGATCGCAAGTGATTAATGTTTAAAGCACTTACGTATATTATGTTCAAACGAGATGATGTTATAAACACATTTTAGGACTTTCCAATGAGCGGTGGACCTGAAGGCGGTCCAATGGGACCCATGGGTCCTAATACAATGGGTCCGGTTCTAAACGGTGATGGTCTCGACGGAATGAAAAACAGTCCAGCGAACGGTGGCCCTGGAACACCACGGGAAGATAGCGGCAGCGGAATGGGTGATTATAATCTGGGTGGATTCGGAGCTCCTGGAGAGAATGTAAGTATGCACAAGTTGTACAACAACTTTTTCTAATGGTCACTCGACGTGTTGTTGTGGATTTGTATGTCATCGTTTTACCTAAATCACCTCTCTTATTCATCGCCTTTGTATATTAATGATCAAATTTTCAAAAATTTAAATTATCTCTTTATATTATCATTTTTATGGCATACGGATCCATGTTACAACTTATTGCCCTTCTAATCATCTCAATTAACAGCCACAAGCGCTTCTATCAGTACGGCGGATATTCACGTATTTGCTAAAGTAATATGGGTTCAGTCTCGTTCAAGGGATTTATCCTCAGCCTCGCTCCAACAGGCTTGTTAATGCTTTCTTACAGAGTATCATTTATCCCTATAAATTTCTCAGAAGGTGTTCTGTTTAACGCGTCACATGGTATTTTGGTAAATTTAATCAGCGTCATTTGGTCGCATCTAATATTTGTCATAACCATATTCGCTGAAATTGCGTCTAACTACTATCACACTAACAATACGTCTAACGATGCAGTTATGAAGCGGGCAGAAAGATAACGAGACTTGATATCACATGTTAATAATTGTAACATATGTCTTATTTTGTATATAAATTTGGATAATCATCGAATTGCAAACGAGATTAATATAATTATATAAAATATACTTCTCTCTCCCTCTCTCTCTCCGATTAATATAATATTACGTTTAATCAAATTATACATTATTCAGAACTTTATTCAGAATTGTGTTTTATTATTTATATTGATTTTATAAAAAGTAATTTATACTTATTTATATAATTGTCTCATCTTCTTTCTGCGTGTTTTATAAGATGAAATATCAAATTACTTTCGTGCGACAAGTAATCGAACTTTTGATTCAATCGCGTACACGATTTTACATGCTAATCTTATATGTTGTTATATGAGATTATCAATAGGATATGACAAGGAACAGTCACGACGCTTTCGTCTTCGATTTTGTTGAAACTTTGGCGATTTGTCCGATAATTGAAAATGGTCGACAAAATTTGTGTAAAAGAAAATTTGTACTTATGAAGAATCAGCTCTCTCGATGTCTATATCTAAAATAATATTTGTAAACTTATTTAAACTTATTTAAACTTACTTATGTAAACTTATTGTTTTTTTTTAATTATTAAATAACGGTAGAGTTTACATATATTAAATTTTATATACGTAATTTATATTACCATTCCAACTCAAATTGACGCTCTAATTAAAACATTATTTTTAAACATTGTTTTTATTGTACGCACGTGTGATTTCGTCTTCTAAACGGAAACTTTTATGAGTAACAAAGAAATATGTATCTTTAATCTTCAGTTATCTTGCATAATCCGTAAAGTTTTGTCGTAATCTGGAAACGACGGCGTCGCGGACGTTCCTTGCGAGCCTTGCGAAGAGAGTTATCAGTAATCACGTACGTGCACCTTCTCTGTATTCTCGACAGTTTTTTTAAAAAATCAAGTCGCCTTGGAGCCAGCCCCGAGTTCGTAGATGCCGTAGACTCCGCACGTGGTGTTCTGGTTATATACATGTAATGCGGAAAAGCATCGTACGCGGATTCGCTGCGTATTCACGTGTTTCATGGTGCGTTCCGGCTAGTTTCGCTATAGTCCGGCACTTGTAGTTTCGCCAGTGGTTCGAGCTCGTAGCAAGTCAGAGTGAAAAAGAAAAGAAAAGTAATGATACTCGTGTTAAACGCAGCGTAACGTGCGGCCGTTATCGATTGCTCCTGCTCGATTAGGATTAGCACTTAAGCGCTCATTAATTGAAATGCTATCACTAAATGGCGCAGATACTTGAACAACGATTATTCTTACACGTGCGCCTCGCCGTGTATAGGAATACGATATGTATGCTTTCTCTAAATACTCAAAAGGTTGCAAGACTAGATATATTGATTTTTTTAATTCTTTTTTTTACGTTATGATTATACCAGGGATTGAAAACGGTATAAAAAGTAGCGGCTATTTATGTCGGTATATTTAGGTTTTATAATTGAAATATATAATTAAAATATATATTAAATAAAACATATAATATATAATAACCAAAATAAAAATCAGTTAGTATAAATAATATCGTTATACATAGCTTTTTGATATTATAACGGTATTATTACTATTATTATATTATATGTTTAAAGAATACTGCTAATACATAAATATTTAACTGATACTTTTTTCTTCTATAACATAAAGATTCTTCGCTGTTTTGGTTATATACCGCGTTTGACGTAGAATGATATAATTAAAGATATTTATCATTGCGATTTTATAATGAGTGTATACACGGTACCGAAACATTTGCTAGAAAAATTATTTCGCTCTTCAGTCCCTGGGATTATGCCTATAACTTACTACGGAAGCTAGTTAATATTTACTTAAGATTTGTCAGATTATTTTCTATTATTTATATTTATTTGACAATTATACATAGGTCGTAAGTAAAGGTGCCTGAAAAATCACGTGAAGATTGTTACATAATACACGAAAGTACATATACACACTCGTACACATACATACGATAGGATATACGTATATAACTATCCGCTACTGTGATTACTGATCGCATACTTATTAATCAATTTTTACACCTTTGTTCTCTTTTTTTATTCTCGTTTGAACACACCATTCTAAGTTGTACTAATGTTTTATCTGTTCTTTATTGCATTATACAGTTAGCGATATAAACTGTAAACGATTTTACGGTAGGTGAGGATTTCTCCGATAGGGGATATTCCACGCGGTCTCTTTACATCCACGTGAATCTTTAGCAGTTTCAACTTTCACACATCTTGCAATAACGATCCCGAGACTCTAATAAGGTGAACAGTCTAAGCTCGTACAAGCTCGGACCGGATCCTTCCAACTATTTGCTCACAGTCTGTTCCTGATACTCGGAGCAGGCGTTCTGTTTTTGAAGCTGTCATTAACATTTGCGAATGGAAATTGATATATTGTACGTACGTCTCAGTTACGAGATACACGCGATTACCATTTCTTGCTCGCGGAGCAAAGTCGACACGAACGCGTAAAAGACGATCAACGGATTAACAATGATTTTGATTGAGGGAAGCTCGCGCGTTACTCTGTAGAAGACTCCGATAGCTAGTTCGCATTCTAAATCGGAATGTTCAAATTCTCGGGATGATTAGATTAATCTACCGCGAAGTCGCGTTGTGCTTCTAATCGCTCTCTCGTGAAGTCCGCGCATATCGACCGTGCGGTAATATAAATGAGTTAAATTAATTAGAGTCGTTCCTATTTAAATCCGTGCGGAATCAGTCAACGCGCGTCTCGTGACCCGCTAGTGCTTAGTTTCGCCGTCGTTTCTCGTGCAAAGTATGTAAAGCTCGCTCACTTGCTCAATTTTTAGCGTCACCGTCGTAGGACGAAAGGTGGAATCTCTTTTAAAGGCAAAACTCTTTGTCTACATACTTTTAATTGTTGCGCTTTGGTGCGACTCGAGCAACGATGCTGATTCATGTAAATCGATCGTAGCTTTCACCGGTAGCCGATTGACATATTGTACAACGGTAGAGGCGGATCTCTCAGCGAAGTAGTTCGACAGCTTACGCGGTATTGCGAGGCGAATGGTTTTACTGCAGGTAGCTTAAACGAAGTACTTGAAAGAGACCGAGAGGTATATAAGAGAGATATATATTATATATATGTATAATTGTACATACATATAATATATATGTATAAATATATATATATGCAAACGTTAATATTTTTGTATGAATATAAGATACGTAGACATGCGAGTACTGAACCTTAGAGAGCGAGTATAGATAGAGAAACGGAAGATAAAATGCGATGAGGGTGAAAAGCGAGAGATTTCCCGGAATCCATCCGTCCGCATTGATTATAGGTCAGTACTGGACTATACTGTGCTGCTATTAGTTATGTTTAAATTAACTTATAGTGCCGAGACATCGATGGAATTTTATGTAAAAAAAAGAGAAAGTAAAAAAAATACACGGAGAGAATGCGGGTGAGAGGGAGAGAGAGAGAGAGAAAAGAGGAGTGAATGTGCGTATGCGCAAGTGCATGCTCTGGGACCAAACGGCAAGACGCTGCAAGTTTTATTTATTTATTTATTGTCCCGTTGTGAAAGCTCGTTTTTTTTTTACAAAAAAGCCTTGCTGCGAACGTTCTTGGGCGTTCTTTTAACGCTTCTCATTTCGGTTTGGGATCGTGAATTAACAGACTGATCGTTTATGAAAACACGGTGTTTTACTTTACACCATTTATACATATATTGTCGCAAAATGTGCGTGAATACACAGCACAGGTGATAAATGAGCTGATAAACATCGCGAGGATAAAATTCATGAATTTATTAATTAATTATTTGATAAAGTTGCGACCGCGAATAGTCGCGCGAACGACATGGTGGCGGGTTTAATCTTGTAATTAAAGCTTGTCACTTGAACTAATCGGAATTGTTTGCCCGCCTGTCACGAGAGATATTGCAGGATAGCCTTCGCAGAGCGCACAGATTGCCGATATCCCGGATATTCTTGCCGTCTTGCCGTTAAGCCCATACGTCAAACGGAGAAAAGAAAGTACACGCGCGCTTGTGGAATCGCATAATCTTTTCTTTTTAATGCGAGGACGTACAACACGAGTCAATGAGTGAAGAAAAAGCTCGGCTAAGCGGCGCATTGAGGGTACGAAGCTCGAACGCAAACTCGTATATGACGAAATTGTCGTTGTTGCGACGCTGATTTCCACGACAGTCAGTTTTTTTTTTTTTTTCGAACGGGAGCAACGTCGACCTCCGGCGACGTTGTGCTTCGTTCATCGACGAAATAATAAATTTAGAGACTCGCGAACGGACGGGGGCGCGGTTTGGTACCCTTAATGCCAATTTACTTGATATACTCCTCGTTGTAAGCCGAATCTATCGCTGAATGATAACATAATTAATATATGCCTATAAGCCAGGCGAGATCGAGACAATAAATGTAATCCTGTTACACTGAGATTATTGCGTTTTTCTTTTTTATTTACGATTCAATCCGAGGGGTGCTGGCTATCATCGTATTTATATATAACTATCCGTCTCCGTGTATTTGCACTTGTGCTAATCACACAACACACATCACTTGTGTTTCACTCGTCGCTTTGTTCGTTCCATCCGTCCGATTAGCGCGATCAGTGTGTCTCTACTCTTAACGTAAATCGCTGATTCTGTGCCAACTCACAGAATCTCGCTGTTGTTTCGACACACTGATCTCCGCTAAATCGAACGTTGCACCCACTATCGCTGGCGGCTGTGGAACACATTGTCATGATCGATGTTGCACTCTCGTTTAACGTTTCTCGAGTTTCTTCTCGTATTCACGTTGCGTATGAAATACGTAAAACCGGACTAGAGCAGAACAGATAGCTGTATATAGTACTAGCCTGTACTGACCTGTAGCACATGGATGCGTCAGCGCAAAGCGTATCGATGGATTGCGAGATCGAGACACGGAAAAAAAAAATTAATGCGGAGACAAAAATTCCGAAAGGGCGGAAGAGTCTTCCGCTAAAAAAAGGGGGAAAAACATAAGTGTGTGAAGGACGACACGTCGAGTTTCTCTAGAGTACCTTTTTTTTCACTATACTATACTGTCGTTTGTAGTCGATGAGGTGTGCGTGCGTGGGGGGCAGGCGACGATAATGAATTTTTTCGTTGTGTTTAATTATTGTTATTATTATTATTATCATCATCACATCATCATTATTAATATTATTATTGTTATTATTCTTGCTGTATTATGTTCGGCTCGACACGGGCTTCACTATCTTACGTAACGTCCATGTGTTGTGGGTCAGAGCACCCTTAAGCAAACAAATACCTCAAGCCTCAACTTTTCTTCCGGTTCCCGACAACGAGACCGACACCTTCCCAAGTGTCCTGTCCCACGGAGTTTTTCGTTTCACGAGCCCGGCCCCTTCACGACGCACCGCCATCACGTTGCGCTTTTAAAAGCGTTTTATTCACCGGCCAGCGTTTTTGCACACGGGGGTGAAGACGGATCTTATTTCGCGGGACTCCTCGGTTCCGTCGACCGTCGTGGCTCCCGCGAGTCGCGAGGACGCACGGTACGTTTTCTCTGGGAAGAAATTACTGGGCAGATTCTCCTGGCATACGCGTTTCTCACACGCGCGACAACGAGAGGGAAATATCCAGCTGGACATTTTACCATTTTCGACGGTTACGAAAACTGGAGCTTTCCTTATCCCTTTACCGAAATTCCGACGCGCGATTACCGAGAGTCCCGCGAATCTCGCTGGTGAAAGACGCTGCGCGCGGAAAGAAACTTGGGCAAGGTTGATGGGCTTGCCTGATCGTTTACGTGTAACCGGCCTGGTGTTGGTTGATTCGCAGGATCAGACCGAGTCGGCGGCCATCCTGAAGATCAAGGAGAGCATGCAGGAGGAAGCGAAGAGGTTTGAGAAGGACTCAGACCATCCCGATTATTTCATACAATAACTCTTCACGAGTCGTTGGACCCCGAGACCAAATTAACAATATAAGAGATAAACGCAATCGATTTCCTTTCTCCCTTTAGTCCGAGAACTATCTCCATCCTTCTCCCTCTTTCCCCTTTTTCCCCCCGTCTCTCCACCGTGAAATCACTCTCCCGCCTCGTACGTTTCCTCTCCCATTTATCCCTTTCTCAGATGAAACCTTTGCTGCACCTCACCATGTATAAGATCTTCCTCTCCTCTCTTCTTTCCGAGCCGTCGAACGGCGTAGATCGATCTCCGTGAGGAAGGGCGCAAGAGACCCCTCCTGCACGCATTGGCGACCCATCCTTTTTGTCGCGCGCTGCTGCAAGGGAGGACCACACGATGTCAGGACAGGAGTGACCGAGACAGACAGAGAGAAAGAGAGCATCGATTTCCGCGCGACTCTCACATCGACCGACGTTCTCGCACAGCGATGTTGTTACAGTATCGAACATTGATAGTTGTTATCATGGTATGGTATATGGAGTGGATACGTCATTCTGAGCGAACGAGTAAGCTCACTTGAAACCTCCCGCGACGTGCCGCTCTCGCGAGCCAATCGAACGCGTTATCGGATGTTCGTCTAATTATCGTTTCTTTCTTTTTTTCTGCATTTCCTATACGAGATGAATATTTCTCGAACTTTAACAGCTGAAAATCGCATTTACCGTATTCCGTTATTCGTTCGCTTAGCGTACGTCCACCCTTAGGCTGCGACCGCGAACATTGTTCCAGTATCTTACTTAATACATGACGAAAAGAGAGAGAGAGAAAGAGAGAGAGTGTGCGTGTGTGTGATAGTATTACATTAGCGTAAGGATTAAACTTCTGAAATTTTTACGATCAGGTTCACGGTCGTTTCTAGGATAAGCCCGCGGAATTTTCTAAATGATGTTCTCGATCGCAGTCGTCATCCGTTCCGTGCAACAATCTCCGTTGAGATCTTTGTTATACAGCCAAGTTTGTGCAATGAAGGATCGGTCGCCCAACTCAACTATGATTAACTCTTCCTTTATAGCTTCGATCCGATTGTAATTTGGAAAGAGTCAGACCATAGTCTGATCATAGCCAATGAAACTGTGAAAAATCTATCGTTAATTAAAGTCTGATTCGAGGGTTCTCCTCAACTATCCAATCCGCTACAAGTGACCGCTGACTGCGCCCTCGACATCGTCGAGTTAACATCGTCACCCTCGCATCGATGGAGGTCGCTCGTACAAAGTGGTCCAGGTTACTGATCATCGTCGTAGAGCGCAAGAACAAGGAGGGCGTTCACGTGCGACATGGGCCACGTAGAGGGATTGACCGACCGAAAAAAGGAAAATAAAAAAAAAAGAAAAAGAAAAGGACACTTTGTTATATAACCACGAATACGTAAAGTCTTACTTATCAGCAGTGGCGCGATAAGATGTTTACGACCGCGAGGATAAGAGCTGCGTCGCCCGAATGTGGGAAATCTTTGATATTCCGTCACGATCGAGGACCAAATTCATTTCCACCGTACGATAAATATGCGTTTATCTCGCCACGAATGATCCGAACAGGTTTACGGTGGAAGGAAGGGTGCTCAATCTACCTGTAGCCGGTTACAAAGTATTCTGCTTTTTCTGCTACTTTTCCGCGATTCTGCGTTCCGCGATGATCAGTTGTGGTCGGTGACGTTTCATCATATCGCACCGTTTAATATGTAATTTCGTGTTCTTTCACAAAAAACCGAACTTGGCTATTCGTGGAAGTTAGACGCTTCTTCACGAATTCCTTTACGCTGCTGAAAAAGGATTAATGCACCGTGACTAATTGTGTGATTTATAAGATATATATTAAAATTTCAATCTAGCACGTTTAATCTTTATCTTCACAGATCGTAAGAGATGACTGAATTATACATATATTGTCATTGAATAATTATTTTCTAATTATTAAGCATATTGTGATATATTGTCGCTCTTCGTGAGAGAGTTGTCATTCTTTCGCGAGTAGTTCAATTTCATTTTATTTAAGCGCAGTCCTTGCATGATAGATATTATTTTACAATTATTATTCAATAATATAAATTATTCTATTATTCTATTGATGCATAGAGACTGCCTGAATCTTGGTCATCAAGTATTTACGATTTGTGAAAAACACGCATATCTAATGACTAAATTAATGAAAATATTCACATGCTGAGAAAATGATTACCTGACCCATGTGCTTTGTGACCGGTCATGAATGATTGTTAGGGGATCTCTGTTGTTAACGATTTTAATAGACAGTGAGTTGAGCGCGGCGTTTTTCAATAATTCCAACTCGTGAGAATCATATGCCGTACATGAAAGAAATTGCTGTTAGATTTTACATACGATGCGTTTTCCACTTAAAACCGACATATTCGTTTTGCTTTGAGGACGTCCCATTGACCCAGATATCTGAAACATTGAAAAAATACGCCGGTTGAATTTCGCTCCTGTATCATCGATCATCAATTATATACGTTTGTAACAGACTCGTTTCAAGAGCATCGTCCCCTTCATAAAATCAAATCGCATCCAGTAATCCGTCGATAAATTACAGATTAATTTAGCACACAGGTAATTATCATTATTTCTTTTTTTCGGAGGAGATAAGAGAAAAAAAATGGTAATCTCGATCGCTCTCTCTCTAGCGTTGAATTCAGGATATCTTACATAGGTATTTTGTATAAAGAATAGAATATGCGAGTTCCATAAGAAGTTTTTCTGCGGATCTTCTCCCTGGGCGTTTAATCCGTTTAGTCTGTTCTTTTTGGATGCGGCCTTCTACGCTTTTCCTCTTCCTTTTTTCTCTTTCCAAAGCGTAAACATATAGTTGCTTCGTTTTAAGTGCAGAAAGCGTGAAAAGGGCCGCAGCTAATAAGAACAGATCTAAATAATGATGAATCGAGATGTATCGCGACGGAGGAGGATATTGATAATTTCATTGTCGAGTTACTTTGGTCCAGTCGGACGAGATGCTGACGGATCACCGCAATCCCTAGATGGGAGTTGCGCCTTATGTTACATACGTCCTTGTATATGTATATTGCTAAGTTCTTAAATGTATGTATTCGGACTCAATCATTATCTCGTCCCTCTTGCATTCCTTATTTAAGAAAACGTATTTCGGCAGCGACACGAGCGGGCGAGTGTGTAAAAAAGAAAGAGAGAAAGATAGAAAAAAAGAATTTCTTTCCCCGAGGAAAGGCGCGTTTAACTCTTTCACTATTTTAAACGAGAGTGAGTTATTTAAGTCACGACGTACAGACGTGGCATTTCTCTTTTGTGACGGGTCTTCTCGCGAGACCGAATGAAGAATCGAGACGCCGCCAGTGAGAGAGTTGAAAGCGGAATTCGAGATAGTGATCGAGCCCCCGTTTATTAGTTTTACACATTCGCGATCGAGAGGGACCGATCCGATATCGATCGCGACCGAAGGGCATGAAGAAAGAGAAACTTAGGTATTATAAAATCGAGTCGCGCGCGCACACACAGTTCTTCGCGGATCAGCCGGAGAAACCGGAGCGGGCAGGAGCTTGATCGACGCGTGGTCGACGATTCGTCGAGAGGGGCGACTTCTTCGACGGGGGCGCGCGCCCGCATATTCGGAGCGGCGTCCACCCTCCCCATCCACCCTCGCGTCCGGGCCCCCCTTCTCCTCCTTGTAATTAATTTACACACGCGTCGTAATCATTATAACACACGCGTTCACACACGGGCTGTAAAACTCGCGCGGCAGACCTCACGCATTCTACGGATTCACGCATGATCTATCGACATAATTATAGAAATACCTACTACGAGTATAGTATTCAGTAGCGTAAAATAATAAAGTAATTAAATAAATGTCATCTGTATATCCTACCAAGCCTTGTGTTTTGCGTGCTCCCAAAATCTCGCGCGACGACGACGGATAATTAATTTAGTCACCGGCGGATCCTGATACGGAAATCGAAGTCTCCCAAGATTTACGGGTAAGTGAAACTGTTATGCAGCTACATAAAGAAAATATTTAAGTACAAGTTTTATAAAAAATATATTTTTTTTATATTCTGTTGCAAAAATGAAATATAACGACATTATATATTTAATACTGCGAAAATTGATTATCTTTTGTCAATATAAGTGTTTTACATATACTCTAATAAATATTGCGATGCACAACGTAAAAAGTTACGCAGATATATAAAAATTTTAAATTTATAAAGTATATATATTAAACAATGCTTACACTTTATTAGTGAATCAGACAATTTTGTTGCATCTGAACTATATATCATTTTTTTAAAATTGATATTGTATATTTTATTATGAACATGGTACAATTAATATAAAAAAAACCATAGACTACAAAATTTTCTTCTCTCTTGTAGTGGAATTTGCTTGGTTTAAATTATATATTGAAAATATACAAATAAGTACAATAATTTTTTTATAGCATAGAACGTAATTTTAGTATATCCCAGAACAATGAGAGCTTTATATTTTAACTTTCACCACAATACTTTTTCGCGTGGAATCGCACGATCTAAAGAGCGAAACTGCACTCGCCGAAGTTTATTGCAAGACTGTCGTTTTCTACGAAAAGTTATCGCGAGTAGTAGCTCGAGAACTGTTCGGTGCGATTATATACATTTTTTGTATTCTCCAGCGTATTTAATAAGAACCATAGAGTATTTCTCAAACGGTCAGTCGTTCACTTGCGCATATTGATTATTAATACGTTACATTTATATGAAACCATATGTTGCGTTACATTTTGGAATCTATACTTATCGTAAGTGCCTGTCGCCTACGGAAACACGCGTGATCGCTATGCAATCATACCCTCAGGTAAAGGGAGTGCGAAGCGGTATCTGAAATATTAACTTATTTATAACCGACATTTACTGGAAAAGGAGCCTTTAGAAAAAGATATCGCTTTCCGAGAGAAGCCTAGAAATTCAGATAACAGTGTAGTGCTAAGAAAACTGTTTGCTTCGTGAAATATGGAACCCAGGAGAACACAGGACAATTATTACGATATCTGTAGGAGGTATCTGGAGTTAGTCGGTCAGTGGCCTTATCAGAAGCCGAAGCAGAGTTTGTTTTTCTTGATTCTTATACTCTTCTTTGACGTCAATGTACTCTTTACACAGGTAACGTTAATTATTATCGAGATCTTCTTCTTCAAGAAAGGAAATAATTCAGAGTAGAACTTTGTGAAGAACCGCGTCGAATACACGCGAATGCAATCACATTTTTCAGGCGGCAAGATTTTTCGTATGCGATAACATGAAGTGTATCTTTGAAACTTTACCTCCACACATACTGGCAGCGATTATTCCGGTGAAAATTTTCACTTATCAATTTAACAGTCGCAAAGTACGTTCTAATAGCAAAACTTAGACCTTGTTGATGTTTTAATCATTGATAATTGCATTCGATATGTCGAATATATCGGTGATGTTTTTAGATTAAACATCTCACAGATCGCTTATTCCTAGACTGGGATATGCTCGAGACTAAAACAGAACGCGATATTATGAGAAAGTATGCCGAAAATGGCAGATGGTACGTGTTGATATACAGCTGTGAGTAATTTCTTTACTTTAGCTGAGAATCAAGGAAATTTATTTCTTTGTGCAATTAAAAAATTAAGTTAAGATAATATGTTTGCATTTAGTGTTTTACAATTAATTAAGATAAATACTTCAAATTAGTTATAAAGAAGATATCAGTATATCAGTCTATGAATAACTGATGCTACCAAGTACAAAAAAAATGGTATAAACTATAAAGTACTTTTTTCTGAAAAAAGTTGCTAGTCAATATAAGCTAAAATTGAAAAATGTAAATTTATATATTTTGCTATGACATTGAGATATTCTGCCAAGTACTTTACATTCGACAAAGAGAGAAGACATACATAAAAAAAGATATGAATTAAAAAGGAAAAATCTTGGAACAAAATACAATTTTAACAGCAGAATTCTTAGTTAAAAGTTAAGAAATATTTTAGCAGACAATCGTTTTTTATAAATTTTGCTTTCGTTGCAGCGTATGTTTACATATCTACTATATCATTTACAACAACCTCTCTCGTGCCACGCATTTTGGATGTTGTATTTCCATTGAATACTTCCCGCCCCATAATGTTAGCATATCCGGCATACTATTTTGTTGACGAAAATCGATATTTCTACTATATTTTTCTTCACATGATAATTTGCGCCACTGCGTGTTTAACCGGGTTAATCGCACACGATTGCATGTTCTTTACCTACATCGAACACACCTGCGGCCTCTTCGCCGTCGTTAAGTAATGATTATTTATACTGAAAGTATAAAATCATATTTTTTATGGCTAAGAAATAAATAAAATTCTACCGAAGAGTAAATATAATGTAATAATAGTTTTAGCTCATGTATGTTCACTTGAAAGAGACAGAAATTAATTTGCCAAAACTCTCATAAAAATGTTATGTTGCATAAATACTTGCAGATATAGATTTGAGCATGTACCACATAAACGTAGTAATGCAGAAAAAAGTACAATTGATTGTTCGAATTCCTTGTATTACAAGAACGTTGTTATTTCGATCCAAGCTCATCGAAAGGCATTGCAGTGAGTGTGCAATAATTAATATATCTCGTAGCACGTTTCTCTTCTATTATAATCTCGATGTTAATTAACTAGAATGATCTTTGACAATATTTAATTATCATCAATATTATATATTCTTACTGTAGGTTTGTTAAAATTCTTGAAGATACCTTTTCGATATCGCTCGCCGTGCAACTCCTATTAATTACAATCTGCTTGAGCATTACCTTGGTACAAGTGAGTAACTTACAAATAGGCAAATACCAAAATTCTGTAATGTAATGAAGAACTAAAACAGAATGTTACCTTTCTCGCGTTCAAGCTCTCAACGCAGCTGCACGAATCAGCGGAAGCGATGAGATATTTCGTCTTCATTATGGCTCAATTGTTTCACTTGTTCTGCTTTAGCTTCCAGGGACAAAAACTGATAAATCATAGTCTCGAAACTCGCGACAACATGTAAGAGACTATATTAAATCGC